CAAATACATATTGAGTTTATTTGCATCTCTTGGGGTTAGAAGTAGAGCATAAATTCAAATTCTTGATAAATTAATGATGCTGCTTTTCTACCCCATGGCTCTCAGAATGGAAGAATCTGAAGAAGTTTATGGGGACAACTGTCCCCTTAGACACACTGCTCTTCTGAAATTAATCCTTCTTGTACACCGATGTCCTTGGCTTATGTCGACAACCAGGAGTGGACATTAGAAGGAAACTGTCCGCTGTTCAATGGTGTTAGCATCTGCTTCTGCACTGTGTCTGCTCAGCAAGGGGGCATATGAAATTGGTACAGAGATTCTCTGCTTGCTTTACATGCCTCCAGTTTAATCTTGCCACGCAGTCCTGCACCCTGCATTCCCTTACTTGTTTGGATGTGGTTGTGGGTAATGGTTCTACCTAGCAGTAGTATTGCACATCCTTCAATTTCATAAGGTAAATGCAGGTAAGAATAATTCAGAATGACTGTCTGGCAAAGGCCAAAATCTGTAGGAGGAACAAGATGTAAATGGTTTCAGTAATTTTAAGGTCTATTCTTTCTTTATATAGCTACACAGAATATCTATTTAATCTATTATCTAATACCTGTTTAAATGAGATCTGAATCCTCATGTTTATCTGTGGAATACTGTAACAACTGAGTAATTAATTCGCTCTCATATATCTTCCCTTTTCCTTCCAAAGCAATTCCTACTACGATATTTGGGAAATTGTATTTATGGTAGCTACAATTGTCAGCAACAAATTTTATTTACAGCTTCTTGGGATAGCATAAAGCACCCCCTCTGAACACCTCTGAACTGGCACATTTCCTGTGGAAACCTCCAGCACTGACTAGCATCACAATTCCCCATAACACGTAAAAGCAACGTTAGCATCAGAGGCAGACACGACTGCTAGTGGACGTGGGTACATGATAGTGCTGAGCATCAGCTCTGCACAGCCTCTCCCTCCCATGAGGTCTGCAATGAGTGTCCATCCCTATCGATGCACACTCTTCTTACCTTTCTATGGCAACCACACTGTAAGCTAAATTAAATTAACAGCGCTTGCTACACTAGAAAGAATTCAGCATGGAACAGCCTTACAAGGGTTCGTCTCTCAGGTTTTTAGCTCTGCCTCGTATCCTTTCTTACACCTCTCTTTTACACAGAGCCCTCACCTGCCACATTTCTCACAACAGCAAATAGCAACAGCATAGCTAGTCTGGTTAGAAGCTTAACAGACAGTCACATCCCTAGCCAACTAAATATAAACATGAAGACACTTCACTTCAAGATAAAGAGTAACTACAGAAAACAACTTCCTCCTTTTGCCTTTGTTATGCTGCTGGAGGAGTCCTTACATGCCGTAAGTGTACTTTCTAGATGATCTGCTGTCACCCAGGTGATGTACGTAGAGATGAATTTCACTCAGGCCAGGTGTTATGTCACAACTGCCTTTCTATCAGCAATAAACCTGAGACAACTGGAAACTAAGAAACTTCTTAAAAAAAACAAACCAATACACTCCCTCCAAAAAAACCTGACTGCAGCATTTAGAATGTAGTATTTCTTAGTACACAGAACAAACTTGATAGTATCAGATGGTCAGTTCAGTAGAGCATGGTTTTGGCCATAAGCAGTTTCTACTGAAAGCTGTAGCAAGGAGTTACCTGTCCAGGGGCACTGGTCTCCACCTCCTACATCAGAGCCCCTTCCTTCTCTGTCACACAACAGCCCACGTAATGCAATCACTATGGCAGTCCCAAGGCCAGCAGCTTTACTGAGCACGTGAACAGTGACCGTCACGCACATGCACGGCTGACTGGATGCTTCCTGCAAGCATTTGGTTACACAGGGGAGCAGACTGCCCCTGCCAGCACTCTGCATGTACACCTGCTCCTTGCTGAGAAGGAGCTCACAGGGTGCGAGCAGGATTAATTGTTTAGTACTAAATAAAGGGAACTCGGTGGCAACTGAGGTTAGTTTTTGCTTTCCTAATGGTTCATAATGCCAGCTTCCTTGATATCATGTTTAAATTAATATTTTAGTAAAATTCTGACCATTTTACTACCATGTAATTCTTGTAATTCTATCCTCTCTGCCTCATGTAATTTCTGGTGATTACTTACTATTTTTCCATAAAGTCTTAATTTTGTTCTGATTAAATGAAAAAGTGGTGAGACAGACTGAACTAGGTGAACTGTCAAACACCTAGAAGACTTTTCAGCATAAACTTACTCCCAAAATAAGCATTTCCCTAAGAGAAGACTTGACAAACAACCTGAACAATAAAATTCTTGAACACTACCCAGTTGACGGGTGTCTTTTCAGGGCTAATTTACATAATTTGACATAATTACAGTTATAAACACTTGAAGAAGTCTTGGAAGAAAGAATGTCACTGAAGCTTACATTTTATTGGGTCTTGTTGCATTTGGCAGCTGTACAAAACTGTGGAGCATGGAAATTTGCTCAGATGGATCCTGATTATACAAACACACAGTACAAGCTTTGAATGCTCAATGCAAGTTTGTCCTGTACAGAAAGATACCCCAATCTCCCAAGGCCTCTGTCCAGTCAGCCAGCATGATGTACAATGAAAAGAGTTTGAAGTACTGGTGGCAGTTCCCTCCACATGAATGCCCATTAAACCACTATTTTGTGCGCAAGGTAGCAGCGGACATCTGTCTGTGCGCTGGTTTTGCCTGAGGTAGAGTTAATTTTCTTGATAGTAGCTGGTATGGGGGCTGTGTTTTGATTTGTGCTGAAAAGAGCACTGGTAACACAGGGATGTTTTCATTACTGCTGAGCAGTGCTTACACAGAGCCAAGGCCTTTTCTGCTTCTCACAGCAGATCTACAGAAGCAAGACCACTAGCTGAGGTTGACCCCTATTTTCCACTTTTGTAATAAGGATTTCTCTCATCATTACATTTCAACAATGCAAGGGAGGAGGAAAACGTTACCTGAAGACTCCTTTCTCCAAAAAGCTGTACAGTCTTCTACCAACTGGACTGAAGTCCATGTCCCACCACAGACTATCATGGTACCTCTCAGAATATAGTGTGTTTGGCAGAAAAATGAGAAAATTTCCTCATTCAAGTTTTAAGATACATGTCTGGAATGCAGGGCAAATACTGATTTTTGTGCTGGTCAGGGAAATCTAGTTCAATTGATTTATTGTGCTCTGGTTGGTAAGTTTTGTTCCCATTCCCTGAGACCATTCTCTCCTTGCACTGCTATATTTTTAATTATCTGTATCATCAGACATTCTTGTTCAATGGCTAGAGAATCCAAAGAGATGTCAAAGCATACTTGCAGCCAAAGGAAGGTGCTATAAAAAGCTATGGCCAGCATCTACATTTAATTAATATTTCACAGACTTCAAGACTACATAAACATCAATACTTACAGTCCTGATTATTTTCAGCAGTTCTGCTCGCTGCATAATATGGAAAATAAATACCAGAGCTTTAAAAATGTAATAAAAAAGACTCTTTTCAGATAGACAGCTTCCAGTGTATTCACAGAAACACATCCGTTCACCAGACTAAATAGGAGCATTTCAAATGGAGTTCATCAGTTGATCTTGGCAAGCCTTGATTACTCTCATTAGCTTTCTTCTAACTTACAGAACATACAAGGGGCTGTATGCCACACGGTATGTTGAGAGATAATGGCATTTTAATTGCATTGGGTGTTAACAAAATCCTTTTTGAACAGCAAGCTTTGAATTATTTCATTTGTCTCTTAATTTATCATAAGGAAACAACTAATTAGCTTTCACTTCTCCTGGGCAGAAGTTTCTTTGTAGAAGACTTAAGTACAGTCCATAGAGTCTAGTTTAACAGCAATGCACCTTCATTGGGAGATTGTATTTGGAACATGGAATGGAAATACAGACAGAAAACAAACCTAAAGTAGTTAAATATCATTTTTGAAGCTTCTAATAGTTAAATTATCCCTGCATTTTACTGCTGCCACCCAAATCAGCTCTAACGTGATGAGTATTAAAAAATAGCAGCAGTATTCTTGAGTAGAAACCATTAATTGTCACCAAAGGATTGGGTTATACAGAGCAATCACCAAATAGGTGGACTGTACTAAAATGTTACTGAAATAATATTTAAATAAATATGTTAATTATACTTTTTAAAAATGGTATCAAAAATCAAGTGCAGAGACAGCCACAGTGACTGGTCAAATTTGTACTAGCTGTTAAATTTTTCATGGAAGCTAAATCAGGTACTTGTTTTAGAAAGTATTGTAATCTCATTTTATTTATCCTAAGCAACTGACATGTCAGTACCTGACATGGTAAACTTCCAATGTCTTAATTCTTACCTTAGGAAAATTTTACCTTCCTTTAAAAGACCAAATTTGATTAGCTTCCAACCACTGGAACCTGTTTTGTCTGCAGGATAAGTAACCTATGTCCCTCTGTGGAAACACTGATACACTTTGAGTCACCTTGCCACCTCCTCTTAGCTGAACTGAACAGAGTGATCTCTATAAGCATTATATCACAGAGCGTGTTTTCTAGCCTCAGAACTTTTGTGGCTTCTTTATAGTTCTCCTTTGTATTTCTAAATCAGTTATAGAGTGTGGACACCAGGCCTAGACTCAGTGTCCTACCATCACTCTCATCAATGTGAAATCACTTCTCTGCCTTTACTTGCATTTGTTTTTATCTTTTTTATCTTTTTATCACACACACACACACACATATACATAAAAGCATTAGCCTTTTTAAGTAAGGAACTGCAAAAGTAGCTTATGTTATCATCAGTGACCCACTACCCCCTTTTCCGAGTTGCTACTTCTAAAAAACCAAATGATGACAAAAAAGCGTTGTTTCTTGTTCCTAAACAGGTTACTTTGCAGTTGAGTCTACCAAAATAACTTTTTTTTGGATTGAGATAATTCTGTAGCAGTCACTCTGCCTTAGCAACAAGTAATTTATCGTGAACTCAGAAAATAAAATACAAGTTTTATAACCTCCCGAGGTAGCTGACATTGAGATCAAACGTAAACATAGCTTCCTGGCTCCGTGCAAAGAAAGCAAGGATAAATTTGGTTCTCTTCTGTTAGTGAACAGATTACGCACACTTTGGATTCTGAAACAGAGCTTTTGAACTTTCTGAAATGTCTGCCGAGTAAGAATTACCTGAGTAAACTGCCAGTAAAGCTTCATTCTCTTGGCTTTGGCATAATTGCATTCAATGAGCCTGGGCCTGCTGTTCACATCCACCAGGCATCTGTTGTCATCATCGTCGATAGTGGGACTCAGAACACCCACATGGAGCTGCTGATTGCTTGTGTAATAAACATTCTGCAACAGGAAGCACAAACAAGATTTGTGGCTTCTAGACAGAAGCAGCACTTTTTTACAAAAAACTAATAGCAAAGATAAATATGCTGAATAGCAGTACGCTGATCCCATAGTGGCTTTTAAATTATTTCCTTCCATGCAGGAGGTAACACAACATTTTAAAAGTTGTTCTAAATTAACAACTAATTGTTAAGTGTTACCAACAAGTAAATATTGGTTAACTACTTAGGAAATATGCAAACAAAACTGATTGTTGTCTCATGGTGCGACTTTTTACTTCTGTTTCTTATGGTCATGCACCATGGGTCTTTAAAGAGCAAGATGTACACCCTCTAGCAGGAAACAGCGTTCATTTGAGTTTTGCCATCAACTCTGATTAGACTATTTCATCTGAGGATAATACCTAACTGGAGAGGTAAGAAAGCAAACAGCAGCACAGCAGTCCAGCAGGAAGGATCTCAATCTTTTATACAACAGATAGAAAGATAAATGAAGGTTTTCTACAAACAAATGCTAAAAAACAAATTTGAGGCAGCTAACCAGAATCCAGTATATACAATAAAAAGTTATTAGCCGTTGGTGACAGACACATGGCAGGAGAGAGAACAGAATGGCTGTGTTTCAGGCTATTTGTTCTCATTTTATTTTGTATATGTCAATACACACAGACACAAGAGACTGGAAAAAGGAACCAGACACTGGCTGCTCTGAATTTGTAGCAAAGGAGTGCTCTCATAGGCCTCAGTGATTACACTTATGACCGAAGGCATGAGACATCATATTACACAAATTCTTTCCACTCTATTTGACTACAGATATGTGGGAGGTTTCTCTAGGAGAAAGAAAAAAGAAGGGGAAGGAAGGTGAGCTTGTCAGTAAGCATCAATAATGCGCCCTCTTGAAGGCAACGGGTTACATATAAGCCTAGAAAGGTAACACAGGACTATATTGGGATTGTCTGTCTGCTAATCACAAATAGAATTTATTTTGCTAAAATCAGACCTTCTTCTTGAGAGGACCGTGAGAAAGATGAAATGGCAACATCATGCTTTAGCAGCCTTACCCAATAAGGGCAGGTGTAAGGCTTTGACAACTGCAGTGGTATCAGAGTCACAACAGACAAGAGCTGGACAGAAGCACCAAATTAATGTCCCTGCCATCTTACTGCATCCATTCTACCTGTAACAAAGAGGGGCTGGATATTATGCTGTGTGGTTTTGAGAATCTTTTCTGTTCCCAGAGGTTGATGGTACTATCTCCTGGTATCTCTTCATTATTGATGTTATAGCTTGTTTTGTATGTCTGTATTCTTATTTGTGAAAACTCTGATAAAAAAATTAATTGCAAATAGGAGAGAAAGCAGAGAAACAGAACAAACCAGGACTGAGGAAAGATTTGGGAGCTTAATATAAAAAAGCAACTTTGAATACTGAAATCAGTCTATGCAAGGATTAAATACAGATCAAAACAAATGATCGTGTTTCTGTGCAAGACTACATCCTCTGTTTACCCTCCTGGAACACTTCCAGGGCAGATCGCAGCAAATGTAAACTGACATAGTTGCATAAAAGTTAACGAAGTTGCCACTAATGATTTTCACTGATCAAAGGTTTGACCTCCTTTGTCAAGCTTCATTCTTTTCGTCCCACAGAAATAACAGAAACCTGAGCTGGCCAAACTGAGGTGAGTCTAGCTTTAAAGAGTCGAAATGGAGAAAAGCTGAAAGGTTCAGTCATGCTTTACAGGAGAAGGGTAAATAAAAGATAAATAAAAATAAATAAAACTCAGCAGAGCGCATTTCCAAAATGGTTGGTTACTACTGATTGAAGTAAACTGTAAGAACTGCAGAAGGACTAACAAGACCACACCCCAACAGACTCCATCTGTAAGTTAGATAATTAACATTCCTGTAAACAAAACTGATGCTTTAGAAGAGCAATAAACATTTAGAATGCACTTTCTAGACAGACCAACGGCAACTATTTTAGATATGTCTAAGATCTATCCCGATGCTTTTTTTGGAGAGAGATCGAGGTAGTGATATAACAAGGCAGTAAGATCAAGATGATCTTTAAAGGGAATTGTTAGGACACATTGACTCTACAGATGAACATTTAGTTGCAGCTCATTTGCCTCTTACCTAAAAGCATTATCAGAAAAATGAGAGGGAAATTGTCAGTTATTTGCATTTTTTTACTAATAGGAAGTGATTTGTTAATTCCATTTTTTCAGCACATTGTCACCACAGAAAATATGGTAGAAGAAAATCAAGGGGTTTTGCACTTTTTAATTTTCTTAACGATCCATAGTCACTGCAAACAAATAAGTCACTGAAAACAAATGAGCAGGCTTGGCTGTAACTCGAAGAAGTGTACACTATAGCTCAGGGCTGCTTGTGCAAAAAAAAAGTGGTGTACCTGCAGACCCTCCAGGCTGAGCTGTTTTTATTAGCACTATCTCCTCAGCCTTTCACAGACTGGCCTGAAGGCTCCACATAATCATTTCATCTTCCTGGATAAAGCAAGCTCAAGTCATAGTACAACTCCACCAGTTTTTTTTGGATGTCAAATCAGCAGTGGTTCAATCCGAGCATCCTTCTGGGCAGAAGCAGAAATGATGGCTCTGGCTGGGGGAATTACTCAATTCTGTTTGTTGGCAAAACTGTACAGAAATAGAACAATCAAATGCAATTAGGCTGAATAGATTTAATTAGCAGGTTGCGGCTTATCTTTAGAGAGCTCACCCTACCTGCTAATATCGCTTAATTTTTCATTGTGTACCAGTTTAGAAAAAGAGGTGTGAAATCTTGTATTCTCACCCAGCACTGGGAAAGGCACCTTTCCGCTTGCAAGGGGCATGTAAAACTAAGCTCAAACTGAAACAGACTGTGGTATGGTGGCAGTTAGTCCATCTAACCAGGCTCTTTCAGGATGTTGCTTTGCTTATCCAGTAATATGGATATTATTTCATTATTCTATATATAAGTATTTTAGTATCTTATCCAGTAATACCGTATCTTATTTCAGAATTGAAAACATTGCACAACCTGGTAATTTGACTATGTTTTTCTTATGGAGGGATCACCTCAAAAGCACACACCCTCTACAAATTCTACTTGAGCAGCATGCTAGCGAAGGGCGAGGTATGGGTTTGTGTTGTACTTGGCCAGAAAACTTTTCTTAAATACCTATGGACAGTCCCTGGCTCCCTTCCCTCTGCCCAAGAATGAAACAGTACCTGCACTGAGAGTGCACAATAGTAACTATGTCAGGATGAAGGGAGGACGTCCATTTTGGTTTTGTGGGGGTTTTTTTGTGGTTTAGGGTTTTGGGGTTTTTTTGTGTGTGGGGTTTTTTTTGCCTTTTTTTTTTTTTTTGTTTTTTTTGTGGTTTAGGGTTTTGGTTTTTTTTTGTGTGTGGTTTTTTGTTTGTTTGTTTGTTTTTTTAAAGATGGTACACAAATTACTTTTCTGGAGTGGGCCATAGGAGACTAACCAGCTGAGTTACATGAATTGAACTACCATCTCATAATGTACTTATAAGGTATGCACATATATGACTTTTTATTGATCATATTTTAAATTCAGGTAAAATATGATCTTACAGATTAAAACCATGCTTATGTTTTATCATCTTACGTGTAGCCCTATAAAAACCAGTTTGCGCTTGTGATTTAAGTTGTTAAATAAATGCCCACAGCAGTACTTCTTCAAGAGGATACTTTTAACAAGCATCAACAAGTACGCTAGCTGTTTTGCAGTCCACTTCAGCACAAAATGGACAACTGAGGCACTTCAGTTTAAAACACTTCAGAAGATACCGGCAAAACACGTTTTTACCAACACATTTGTTCCTACAATATTGCAACATCACCATCAAGTAACACAACAGGATAGAAATCTTGCAGTAATTTAGGAAAGTGATTTTGAATAATCACTCCAGTACTGTCTTGCAAGCCCAAATGACTGAGTATTGAATATGGACTATGAAGTTGTTAGGGTAACTTTGAAAATTTTACTCAGAACTTGAACCTTTCATTTCTGCTACAAGAACAACTGTCACAGCAGTCCTTGTTCAAGGGACTGGAGACTCAATAGCCCAGTATTTGCTTAGTTCCACTGAAGTCAAGACACTTGGTGTATACTGATTTACAGCATTCAAAGCTCCTTTGCACTTTCACTGGAGACGCAGCCTCAGCAAAACACAACCACACATTTTCACATCACAATCACGTACATACTCCCTGAGCTACTGAATTTCAACAGAAAGAACCTTGCTTGGATATTGGTACCAAAGCACATGATTAAAAAAGCCCAAACAACTCCCTTATTTTGTAACAAAATAAGCCTTCTTACATTTCATTAGTCTATTCTAGCCCACAGCACTTTACCATCTATTTTTTTCATGGTAACAGTATTGATGTACAACTACGTCTCCTGGGCAACTGGAAGGGGGCACCTTTGTTCAGGAAATCAGTTAGGTTCGACAAAAGGCACTTATCTTCTCAAAAAGTAAAATTACAAGGATTCAGCATTACTGTCAGTTAGAAACTGTAAAATTGTAGGCAGGATTTGTGATCCACAAAGTGTCTGAGTCAACAACACACTTGTGTTCTCAATGAACAGTCTCATAACTAATCACCTTCATAACTAATCTTCCTCTGGACTGTAAGAGGTGGGGTTTTGTGTGAACTGTGTCAATTTAAAAAAAAACCCACAAAACTGCTGAGAAACTTGGCCTGCAAATAGCCTTATGCCTGTAAAACGACATCTTCCAACTAAAGGACCGATTATTCCATAGCTTTCTTGAATTTATTTTCTTAGAAATGTCCCATTTGCTCCACCTAATAATCTCTCTGATTATTCACATTAAGACAAAATATAAAACAAGCAAACTGAGATTGGTATGACATTAATAAAACTAGTAAAATGGTTCCCAAAAATCTTCATAAGGTGAAAGAGTGAGATTTAGTCAAGACATACTTGTTATTTTTTCTAAACA